TCTGCACAACTTACCTATGAGTTCTTCTTTATGTGGCGCCTTATGCCAACCTTCGCTGTCACTGATGTTATTTGTGCATAAAAGCAACTCAAATTTAATAACAATTGTGTTGAAGACAGAACAAAGCGATAAGGGAAAATTCATCACAAGTTATTACTGGCATCTAAAGAAGGAGAAAGAGCTCATTTATCATAATAATCAGGATTTTGTTCCAGAATATAAGACATCCCACTTACAGAATTCAACCAGTAAAAACTGATTCTCGCTGAGGGCTCTTTCAAAGTTGTTGATGTGAAGGATCATGACGTTATTCTCCTCCTCTATCTCAGTTGTTTTCTCTTTCTTTGGTGCCTCTGCCTCCTCCTCCGCCTCCTCGGTCGTCTCCTCCGATGCCTCCTCAGACGTCTCCTCTTGTGTCTCTGTCTGGCTGTCAGTGCTGTCCTCGGCCTGCGTGCAGGAGGCCCACAGCAGCAGGCCCAGCAGCGCTATGAACAAAAGCTTGTGAGTCTTCATGTCTGCGTCTCTGTCTGAGCTGCTCTGGTACCTGTGCTTAGGTGTAGGTGACCGTCAATGCATGTGTCTTTTACTCTTTGTACGATTATTTATCTAAGATGAAGCGTGTGTGTCAGAATGTTACTGGCCTTCCCTGTCATCCAATCAGGCGTCACGCCTGTAGGGGAAACTTTCCAGTCTCGGCCAATCAAACGATGCCTTGTAGATTCAGAATTGGGTAAACTGGATGATCGACTGCTGTGTTTGATCACACGTACACCTACTCGTATGTTTGTGTTTGTGTTTCTTTTGTTTATAGCGTTTAAATAGACCTCCCCATACACCATGTGGTAGCATTAAAACGCTTTTAACTTTAACTCCTCTTTCTGCTCCTTATCAAACCCTCATTTACCTAAAAACTCCCACAGTGATACTAACAAGTGGATTAACAGCTCTTACCATTTATCACACCCTTTATGTTTACTCAAACTACAGAGACCACTTTCCACAGTTGCCCCTGTCATGACCTCAAATTTAAATCCACAGCACCATTAATCAAGAAAGATAGCAAGTTTCTCTGTTTTCTCTTCAAGCTAGCAACGTGAAATATCACTGAAGCTGAGTGCTGTCAACATAGTGCTGTCTTTGTCATGCAGATGCTTTGCGTTTCACTGTGCGTGTCGATGTGCGCTTCAGTTAATCTAAAACCAGTACATGTAACACTCACATACGCACGGCTCACAGCGCCGAGTCTTTCTCCACAGGCAGAGGTTGTCCAGCTGTTTTCAGAAGTTTGAGCTCTTAAAACAACCGCGAGGTTCTTTTCTTTTAACCTTTGTGTTCCTCTAAAACGTATGTTTTGAAAAGTCTTATTTATTTGCTGAATTCAGTTTTTTTTATATAGTGCCAAATGAGAACAACAGTCATCTCAAGGTTTATATTGTAAGGTAAAGTTTTTATGAGCAAGCACTTGGCAACAGTGGGAAAGAAAAACTCCCTTTTAACAGGAAGAAACCTCTGGCAGCACCAGGCTCGGGGAGCCGTGACTGGTTGGGGTTGATGAGAGGGAGACGGGACAAAAGACGTGCTGGGGAAGCCACATCTGTTTCTGTTTATAACTTTAAAACTCAATGAATATCTTTGAACTTTATTGAACTACGTCCATGTTTCTCAATGTTGCTCTGAGATTCAAAGAAGCAGGTCATTGCTTCCAGCATCCTCTCTGTCTCCATTTTTAGTTTCCTGTCGTCTCTCTAATACCGATTCGCAGATAAAGGTAAATTGCGCATTAATGTGAAGGGTTTCACTCCAGGAAACAGCTGCAAAAGAAAAGTTTGTGTTGCTGCCCGTCTGTTTAACCGTGGACAGCTTCTATGTACAATAGAGATACCGTGAGATAAATGATGGGTGTGGTGAGTAGTGTTTTCTTTACACCTGTAACCCAATGCTGTAGCCACACAGCAGGGATGTTACAGCGTCCTGGAGTGCACCTGTGCAACCATGTGGCAGAACAAGAAGTTAAACTTCTTTTTTTAACAGCTCCACGACTGTATGACCAAAACGATGATGGATTTATTCAGAAAAACTTAATTTTTCAACCCAACCCAGCCATATTTGACAAAATCCAAACTGTGAATTAGGGAGTAAATAACAGCAACAAAGAGTCAACACTCATGTTAATGAATCTATTTTATAAAATATCAACAGCAGCTCTACAAAATATTATGCAACAGAAATAAAGCGTAACAGTTTCACATCCGATTATGTTACAGTAGTAGAGGACACAGTGGGTCCTGGTACATTTTTTTATTAAACTAAATCTCACTCTGCTCAGATGGCAGGTTCTTTGTCCCGACCCTTTCAAACTGCAGAAAACTGTATTTGTAAAAGGATCATAAGTGGAGTCTTTTCAGTCCCAGGCTGAGCGTGGCGTGATCAGTGCTGCATGTTTGTGTTCTCCGTCAGCGTGTGAGTGAGCTCTGGGTTTGGATCCCAGTTTGCCAACAGGTCGCTGAAGTCTGGCTGAGCGCTGTCGAGGGTGTGCATGTCGTGCTGCGCTGGGACGTTATAGTGCATGTGCGCGTTCTCGTCCGTGCGTGTGAGGTCCTGCGAAGGCGAGGCGCCGGTCCTGTGTGCGATGTCAAGCGTGTTACTCAGAGTGACCAGAGGGCAGCTGGGGATCGGCTCGGTCCAGAAACTGAGAGGCAGGTGCCGTTTGATCATCGGTTGGCCTCGGCCCTTGCTCGGGGCCCTGAGGTCAAACAGTTCAGCCAGGGGCCCCAGCCCACTGCTGTTGCCTTTTGCAGCCGCGGCTCTCTGCTCTTCGGGACAGGCCCTGAAGCTGTTCTCCTGCATCTCAGGACTTCCTCTCGCTATTCTCATCAGGTCGTCATAGTAACGCAGACGCCCACTGGTGGTGATGGAGATGGAGTCGCTGTAGATGTCGCACGCCTCTCGGTCACCGGAGCAGCGACCGAAATAGCGCTGCACATCGTGACTGATGACGTCGGCGAACCTCAGCAGCTGCTTGGTCACATCCAGAGCATGGTGAGCGGGGTTTAAGAAAACCTCCTCCAAACCTTCTTCCTCTTCCTCCTGAGCCTCAGATTCTTCGTCCTCCTCGTCTTCATCTGCCTGTCTCTCTTCTTCGTCTTCTCTCTCCTCTGGCTTCTCTGGCAGCGTCTTCTCGTAGGCACCGTCCTTACACGGAGAATGCTGAAAAATCATGGGGAAGTAGGCCGGAGTTGGAGCCTGGATGAGAAAGTTCCTGATGACACCTGCAGCCATGTCGGCTTCTAATCCTGGTGAGATGAATGAAGAAAGAGGGACAGTAAGAACTTGATTGGGAATAACAAAAAAAGGATAAAACGCTTATATTGAGTTTCCTTACCTTACCTAGCTGCCAGGTTTAGTGTCTGTCCAAGAATAAAGGTCTGGCCTGGGTCACTGATGGATTTGCTCGATGTGCCCTCCAGGACCGGCCCTGTATATATACCTCCGCACACGCCAGTAGGCGTGTGTGTGACTGGCGTCGGATGAGGCAGCTTCCAGGACAAATATTTGCGCGCGGGATTGGTCAAACACACATTGTTTACTTTATCACTGGGCAACCGGGGAGGGGGGCCGAAGCTAATGGACCCTCTGCTAGGGGATGATGGAGATTTGTTATCCAGACGCGGACACAAACACATCATTGCCTTTTTCCGTCCCTGTTATCAGGCTAGTTAAAGGATAAAAGAGCATGAAATCAAATCACATGCTGTTTTGACTTTTAAAGGGGAACACTTTGAACCCCCATCAGCCCACCACATGCCCCCTACGACAGCAGGCTAACACACAGGCTGGCCAGACACACTCTCCCTAACGAACGACACAGTGTAATATTCTTTAAAGCACCCAAGTAACGCGCCATCGGCCGCTGGTTGACTTGGAGAGTAAAACAGAGAAAATCAGAGTGCCCTCAAGGAATAAACTGATAAGCAGGTTAGCTGTTAGCATCTCATGGTATAAAACCACTCAACCAATTAAAGCTGACAGGGAGGAGATACTTTATCATTTATTGTCAATATACAAAAACTACAAACTCTACGGTGTTGCACCATCTTTCTATGATTTACAACTTCCCTGGTTTGTGTCGGGATTCGGCCTCCTGAGCTTATTCATTCAAAAAGATTTTAAAATAGATATTCAGATACCAGATGTCATATCACATAGTTTTAAAGTAACGTTTTAAAGACCTGCACCACCAGTTGTGAAGTCCATAAAATGCCGTTCAGCCTCTCGGTTTGACGTAGACCTAAAATAATGGCCACAAAGGCAAAAGTAGGTTTGTTTTCAGTGCTGTTTTTCCAAAAAGCTACCAACATAAACCCATGTGCTTTTCTAACTTAAAACTTTACTCATGCATCATTAGTTCCCCAGACATGGATTAAGGCTAGTCTTGGACTAAAAGCTTTAATCAGTGGAGATTGTTACTGATTATTGACTTAGGCTTAGTCTGTGTCTATGAACCAGGCTGGTACTGCTTCAGAACAAGACTCCTTTAAAAACACAAAGAGAAAAACAAAGACAACAGAAATTAAGTTTTGCAATATGCTCTATCTAAGTTGGTACTTACAGATAAAGTTTAAACTGAAACTTGAATTTTTGAAATCAAAAATGAAATACTCTCTTCACAGAAAACTGCACAATAATTGCAGTTGTCTCACAGATTAAGGCCAATTTGACCTGGTTTGCACTGTAACATTGTATATACGTGTCTTGCTTCTGTTTATATGTGCATGTAGAGCATTATTTAATGTGTGTGTGTGTGTTATCAGGACACCCTGACTCCCCTGGTCTGCCTGTCATCAGTATCCAGGCTTCTGTGTTGATTTTAGGGCTAAAGATCAATAGCAGCAATATGTCAGCTCTCAAGAGGCTGACAAAGAATTACACACGCTTTTAGGCACACAAGCACATAGACACGCAAAACAAACACAGTAACTTTGTGATTTGTCTAACATGTTATATTCATTATAAAAAGCACACATGCAAACTAAAGATTTTAGACCACTTTCTATGACATACATACAATAGATGTTTGTACAAGATAAATGGCAATTATCATCAGTTGTCATTCTTTAATATTTAGTTATGATAAATAAAAATTAAGTCATCCTAAAACCTTTACTTGCTTATACGTATGGCCTTTGGTAACAAACTCAAAAGCTACAGGTGTTCATGTAAAAAGGAAATTTAAAGAAGTTCAGTAGTAATGTTTTTAAAAAGTTATTATTTTTTCATTTTTAATTAATAGATGTTAGAAACATGCAAACCTTTGATAAAACGGTGAATTAAGAATGACTGGGACGTGATGTCATATCCTGTCCACTGTTTCTCCTCTGTGCACCCCGTTTTACCTGTGTTATTTTAAAATTAACTAAATAAAATAAAACAATATTATACATATCTTTGCTGTTAATTGAAGGGAGAAAATTAACAGAATGGAATAATTTTTAAAAAATGTGATTACATTTTAATAAAAGTTATTTTTAATCTCAAAGACATGAATTAAAATTACATCAAATATCAAAATAAATCTTTTTCTTTGAAAATACTTGTTTATTATCACGCTCTGAAAACTATATTTGAGCAAAGTCAGGGACATTTTTCCCTTTCATATTTACAAAAATATAAGACTGACTGTACATTGAACACTTAGACACAGAGATGAGATTGTCCTATAACAGGGAGGAGAATTTGGGCAAAATTGTTATAGAATAATGTTGTGGGCTTTGTGAGTTTGTTTCTGTAACAGTTTAATAAATCATCTTTCAGATAAAATCATAAAATCATGGAAAATTTGCCTCTTTTTGTTTTTAAAACTTTACTACCTTCAAACTGAATAGTAGGAATGACCTGTATAAAACAATTATGACCAGTAAA